CAATGTGCAAAACAAATGCGTTCCCACCAGGCATGGCTCACAGTGTTCTTGTTCACCCAGTTATGGACTGATGAAGGCTCACGGCCTCCCCAGGAACACCTGTGGAGGCATATAGCTATTCCTCCTTCTGATGTGGAAATGCCTGCTCAGAGCCAGGCAATCATCGGTATCAACATCAAAGGCAGTTTATCCAAAAATTGTAAACAGCATCACATTCTTCCAAGGAAATCTGGTCACCCGCCCCTATGGTTAAGAACCAGTTTCTTCACAGAGATTAATAAGTGCCACAGCACAGCCTCACTAAAACCCAATCCATGAGGTCATGGATCTAAGATGACCAGAGATGCCTTTGCCCAGAGACTTCAGCAAGAGAGCTAAAATACACTTCCTCCTTTTTTTTTCAGCCAGGCATGGCAGTCTGGCAGGTGTCAAGCCAAGGGGTAGTACAAAGTATGCTCCCAGCAATTAACAGGGGAAACATCTTCCATGCAAAGCAGATGGCTGCTTACTACAGTGTTAACTCTGACAGGGACCACAAGCAGATAATGGAGTTGTTACAGGCCAGGAAGATTGGAGGAAAAAGAAAACTAAGAGGGCAGCATGGAGATGGAACATAACCTCCGGAAGACCCAAGTTCTCAAGAGCAATGAAGATGTGTGCCGTGTATCAGCACCATTTCCCTTCAGCTGATCTCTACAGCACTGCCTAATCCTGCGCTTTGCAGGTTAGGACTCAGGTGATCCACCACCCACAGAAGCATCCAAATGTTTCACAGATGACAACGAGGTCGCACCAAGGGCACCTACCCTAGTTTAGTGCTAGCTCTGGTTGCTACAGCTGGGGCAGCAAAGGGCCAGCAGCTGCAGCACTGGCAGGTAAGAAGAGACCAGGTGAGGCTGCAGTAAAGTTTTAATGGCTCTAACACAAGACTGCAGCCGCCTGCAATGACATCCAGAGAGGCTGAAAAGACAGAGAAGAGGGAAGCCTCTACATACTGCTTCTGTCCCAAGTGCAACTGCTGTGGGTGGCTGAGATTCCCCACGGATCTTCATTTCCTTTCTCCATCCCACTCTTTCTTGTTTTCTGTTGTGGGTGAGGACAGCACAACTCTCTCAGAACAGCATAATAAGCCCTCCAATACTCATAAAAAATGTCTGTTCTGGAAGACTGCAATCATAAACACCACCAGGAATGAAGGTATTATCAGAAAGCAGTCTTCCCACCTTCATCCTTTCAATCACTCCTTCTCCCAACCTCACAGATCATGTATCAGTGACCCCATCATGGTGAGAATATCAACCAAATACTAGTGAATACAAAAACAAGGGGATACACTCAATTTATCTACTCTCATAGGCTAAGCTACACGAGTGGATTCACACCAGAGAAGAAACTGAGAATGAGGACAGTCATTGGTTTCCCCAGCTGAAAAGGCAACTTTTATTTTTATTTTTATTTATCCAAGTGCTTACTGCATAGTTTTATTGATAGAGGCCAACTGCATGCTAGTAAAGGCACAACAGCATTAGATAGGTTTGCAAAAGCTTGAAAGATGAACGTAATTAGCAGACAACTGGAGATGAATCTCAACTTCTGTTGAGTTCTTCTTTCATGTTAAAAGTTGGCAGCAGGAGCTATTTTGTTCCAAGGCTACATGCAGCTGTAAGCCTGCAGACCTGAGGAGGTGACCCAGCATTGGTAGGAAGTGGCTGCTCCCTTCTTTCCTCTGCAGGCTGGCAGTTTGAATAATTAGAAAAAAACCATCATGACCAGCTGATGTTTGAAGAGCCTGGTGTAACGGTGGCTGCAGTCCTTGCCTGAACAGCACCAGTAACAATTCAATCATGTAGAAACGATTCCACAGAAGCAGAGTTCTCAGAACCAAATTAGAAATGCCACCCCCTTTGCTCCCATGCATGCAGTGGTCAGACGGCAGTAATGGTCTCACCCAATCTGCAGTGAGACACGGACATGTGGGAGGACACCAGGGTGACAAGCAGTGGCCAAACACCACTGTAACATCACCATGCGTCCATGTTTTAAGGCAAACAGGAGTTGCTAAAGGTTGTCACGAAAAAAAAGCAGATGCGTCAACTGCTCTCAAGGCAGAAGTTTCAGGTTTAACACAGAGCCCAGCAGATGAGCAGTGCTTGTCAATCCACAGCGCACGTGGCTGCATCCACCATGTGCTCCTGGCATCAGTCACTGAGGTCCTTCTGAAAATCTTCAGCCAATTTAAGCTAAAATTATCCCAAACAGTTCAGTAACAGCAGCAACTTGTCTCCCACTGAGCATGCAGAAGCTGTAACAAACCTTCTGAAGCAGAAACAAAAAATTAACCAGGCCTGCTCCCTGCTGGGAAGAAAAAATAATGCTTTCTGATTCAATGCATAATTAAGTAGACAATTAAAATATGGGAATTCCTCCATTTCTACAAGCTGCTCTTTTATTCACATTAAAATGCCATAGTTCCATTTGTGGGAAGGGAACCATCACTTCACTCAGTTACTCATGATTATTCCATCAGGCAGTCTGCCACACATCATGGATTAACAAAAATCAGAAGGCTCCTTGTAAGCAATGCATTTATTGGGAAGAAGAAACAGTAGCAGACCTAATTGGGGGTTGGACTCGATGATCTCTGGAGGTCCCTTCCAACCCCTACAACTCTGTGATTAGTACAGTCTTCGAATGGGGGAAAAAAAGGCTCCCTCATCCATAAAAGGTCAAGACAGTTATTAAAGGCAGAGTAGTGAGAGTATCAGCAGAGAGAAAGCACGTAACCATGAATAAGTCAAAGCTACTGGGAATATTAAGCTAAAAAAAAAAATAAAAAAAAATAAAAAAAAAAGCGCAAAGCAGCTAAAATTTGAAGATGGTTGAGGATAATCACCAAAGGGAATTTTCATCATGAACACTCTGGAAAATTAAATAGCCCAATTCAACCACGCAGTTAATACAAAGAGATAATGATGCATCCCAAACAGAATGGCAACAGACTACACTCAACAGTGCCTCTGCATAGAAGCTACTGTTGTTTTGTTGCTTTCTTAAATTCTTTATTTCACTCTAAGTTTGATTATTTTAGGAACACAAATTCAACTAGGAAACTGAAGCATCAGCAGAAAAACCAGCTTACCACATCAGTGCCAGAAGGACAGAACTCTCCTATCTCAGTGCACCCAGAACTTCACAGCCACGTGAAGTTTCACTGCTCACACAGCCCTAATCCACTGCCCACAGGCCTGAATTGAAACTCTATAAGACTGCAAAGCCCCCTTCTGGACACACATATGAAAAAAAATAAGCTGTCCTAGAGACAGCAGGCAAGCTTTTAGCACACAGTCCTGGTGAAGGACTGTACAAGCATTGGCTCTAACACAATACAAAAGAATCCCAGAACATCCTGAGTTGGAAGGGACCCAGAGCAGAATCTCAGAATTAAGATTTAATAAAAAGAAAACTGAAAGGGAAAATTAAGCATAATGTATGAAAACCCACAAGCTTACCTTCCCCATTTAATGCAGAGTATTTTCCAGGCTCAGTAACACACAGAACAACTACAATAAGTTGGCTTACATTCACACTACACATAAGACTGTCTTGTGCCTGTACCTACTTTGATTACGTGTGTTCTTGCTAATTGTATTCTGCTTTATATATTGAAAGTGTTTACTCCCTGTTTTTATGTTCTAGCCTCCAGCAATCCACAGCTTCCTAGTGCTTGGAGCCAGACATGGTTATTTTGTTTATAGCACGATTTCATATAGGACAAGAGATGCAGGCATTCTTTATGATAAGAAATATCTGGTTACTTTGAAAACACATGTTACATTACATCAGTAAGTGACACAAACACATTTCAAGATACTTTGGCGAGCAGTGATTGCAGGCAGGCTGACCTCCCCCCAACAAGACATTACCATATTTGGTTTACTTAAGTAAACTGCTCAAATTCAAAATTTTCTCCCGCTGCCACCATCACACCAGATCCTTAAAGAAGGAAAAAAAAAAAAAAAAAAAAGCCTACATAAGTGGCAGAGCAATCCCTCACGTTGCTCCCTTCACAGCCCTGTCAGCTGCCAGTTTCAACTCAAACTTCACTTAGTGGGACACCTCGCCTTGCAGGCTGCCTCCGGGGGATGGAGGTTGGATATGAGGAACAATTTCCTCTCAGAAGGCACGGTGGAAGCCCAGGTCACCTGGAGGGGTTGGAGAACGGTGGAGATGTGGCACATGGGGACATGGTCAGTGGGCACGGAGGGGACGGGCTGACAGCCGGTGATCTCAGAGCCCTTCCCCAGCCTCAGTGATCCCACAGGAGGGCTGTGCGCTGGTATGGACCTGGTGGGACCGCCAGCCATCCCCCACACGGGAAGGAGGGTCGTGGGGGCAGCACGTACGGGACAAGATGGAAAAATAAAACGTGGCTTCCAAAGAAAAAAGAAGTGGCCACAGGAAGCAGAACAGGTTATCTGCCACACGTAACGGATTCGGTTCACACCATTTGTAAGCACCAAGAAAGATTTTCTCCGGCAAAAAGCAAACTTAGCACGACCCTTTCAAATCCCCCAGCGCTGAGCCGCGCGGCGGGGACCAAAAGCCACTCACGGGTTTTTATGCGACAGCGGGCCGGGCCGGCCCGGAGCCCACAGCGCGGCGCCCAGACCCGCAGCGCGGCGGGAAGCTCGCTCTTTCCCGCCGGCCCCCCCCGGCGCCCCCCCCCCCCCCCCCCCCCCCCCCCCCCCCGCCGCGCTCCTTCCCGCCTTTCGCTCTCGCTCGGTGACGCGAGCAGCCCGAGCCGCGCTCAGCGCGCCGCCGGCAGCCGCTTCTCTCCGCAGCCCCCGGGCCCCTACACGCACACCCCCACAACCCAGAGCACCGCCGCCGCGGGGGAAGGATGGGCCGAGCGCAGCACAGCCAGCCCCGCTCCCTGCGAAGGAGCGGCCCCGCCGGCCTCCACTGCCTCGGAAGCCCTGGGGAAAGGCGGCAGGCCGTACCTCGCGGGTGGTGACCTCCTCTTTCTCAGAGATCTTCACCAGCAGCCGGTCGTTCTCCAGCTCCAGCGCCCGCACGCGGTCGATGTAGACGGCCAGGCGGTCATTGAGCTGCCGCAGCTCCTCCTTCTCCTGCAGGCGGGAGATGCGGGTCGGCGATAGCGGGGTCCCGCCGGGGGTGCCGCGGATCGGGGTGCCTGACATGGCGCTCAGCTCGCGGGCAGCAGGCTCATTCAATCCGGCCGCACCGGGGGAGGAGGGAGCGGTAAGATGGCGGACATCGCCTGCCCCGCCGCCGCGCCGCATGGGAAATGAAGTCTGGGCGCCAAGATGGCCGCGCGGGGCGCGCCGGGAGGAGGAGTCCGCGCCGCCGCCATTTTATGGGCTGCCCGCCGCCGCTCCGCTCTCGCTCGTAACGCGTTTTGAATACAGTTAAGCCATTGAGACTGGGAACAAAGCACGGGAGAAAGGTTATTTAATAACCTTGTACGTAATAACCTTGAGTGTGCATAAAGCCGCTTCTGAAAGTAGACACTGCTCGTTGGGTTCGGTTCGTTTTTCCCTTCCAAGATTGAGGGAGCGGAGCTGTGGGATCAGGGTTCCTTCTCGTCAGCCCGTGTCACAGCAGGTGCAGCCCCTGTGCTCCTCAGAAACGGCCTCTTAGGAACGAGCTGCCTTCCCTGCCCCGGGAGGGGGGCATGGGTTAGCAGCAAGGCCTGCTAACCTTAATTTGCTGTGCTTCCCCCTCAGCATCTGTAGGCTGAGAACTGCAGTTTGCTGTTTGGGGTTTCAATCAACTGCTTCCTAGTGGGGATTTTTAGGAGGGCTGTTTTGCAGGCATTAAAAACATCCATGGTGATGCTGAGAAGGTGCAATGCTCCCAAGTCAGGCTGCTCAGGAAGAAAGTGCTCTTGCTATCCCAAGGGATGCTGCTAGTTCACAATGGAGCCGTTGGGAATTTTTCATTTCCTAAATATTTGGAGTATTACCTTCCCAAAGCATGTTTTTAGTGATTATACTCCGACTTCTGTAAGTTCTTACGCATTTAACCAGTATAAAATGCATTAGCAGTGAATTCCTTTTGTCCCCAGCCTCGAGACTAAAAAGCACTCAGTGTGGTTTTTTGCATTGTGACTAACAGGGAAGGCTGAGAAGAGGAAGATTTTCCGGGAAAAACGAGTTTGAATTTGGTGGTACAACAGCAAAGAAAAAGGAGTATGAGTGTAATGCAAGCCAGCAATAGAAGACAACTAAATAGAAAAACAAATAAGAAAATACTGCATGCAATAGATGAAAAGAAACTCAGGGAGCCAAGCTGAACAAATAGGTGTTTATGATCAAAACAGAAGCGATCTGATTCTCATGTTAGAGGATCTGGGAACCTAAGATCAAGTACTTGTCAAACTGGAAAACCTCAGTACAGCTCTGCTGTGGGTGAGCAGTTCTGAGTCCCTCTTGCAATTGCTGTGTATCTGTAGCAGCTGCCTGTGTAAGCAGTAGGTTTTCAGGTAAGTTTTGCTCCTCCACCTGCAGAGAGCTGAGGGCAGGGGTTTCCACAGAGCCTGCAAAGCTGTGGGTGTCAGCGGGTTACTCAGAGGGATGAAAATAATCGTGCTGATCACCACCTCATTTCTGTCATTTCTATAGGCGCGTAGGCACATCAGAATGTAAAGAGCGCTGCTGTCGGATCTTAGTCAGTGAGATCTGATATAAACTCAGTGTGAAACCGCTCTCTGAAAGCAGTCGTTTTTGCCTTGAAATGCATCTGCAGGAGGAAGCAGGAAGGACAGACTACAAATCCCAGAGCGCTGTGCCTCATTTCTCAGCAGGGAGGTCTGACCTCGCGCTCGGGCTGGGAGCCACACCAAGGACAGCCCAGGAGCCTGCAGAGCCACCTCCTTCCTCATTGTTTCCATCCCCGCTCTGGATTTGAAGTACAGTGCGTTTTTTGAATTTCGGCGCCAGTTGCAAACTGTAAACCAACTGCTGCTGGATCAGCTCCAGAGCCCAGCGCGTGCCTCCAGCCGGAGCTGCTGTGAGCCTGCAGCGAATCAGACATCGCTGCCTTCCCCCGAGCAAAGCAAAAAAAAAAAAAAACCTAATTAAAAAATAACGCTTCTGAGTGAGTGTGAAGCCATGTGCTTAGAATGAACTTGTTCTGACCCAACATGCAGTTTCCAGCGCTAACAAATCTGTGGAAGACCAGTAATTACATTTGATTATATAAAGCTGAAAAAAAAAGTATTTTAGGAATGCTGAAAGCCTCTGCGTAAACGTTTTTTGGGTTGGCTCATTTTTTCTCATGTGATTTAACATGATGCTCTGCACATTGATCATAGTTTGGAAATTCTTTTACAACTTTTGCCTCTTTTTGATTGAGAATATAATCCAGATGCAAGTCTGCTTTGGGCATGAAGTTTAGTCAAAACTCTTCCATTATTCTGTCAGATTTTTTTTTTTTTATCCTATAAACTTTGTACATTTCAAGATTTTTTTTTTGCCTTTTAATATTTTTTTTTTACAGTGATGATACCACACCACAGTAATATCTTCCTTTTATATTTATACTTCCTCACACTTGAGATCTCATATTTTCTACAATATTTAGAATGTGCCTTTCTTAAGCAGTAACCAGAACACTTGCAGACTTTCATCCTTGTTATTGGCTTCACCTCTTTGTTTGCTGAACGTGTTTGTTCACTTTTCCTCACTGAGAACAGGACACTTCGGGGAGTGGGATGGGAAGATGCCAAGGTTGCTGCCTCACCCTCTGCCCCACACTGACTTTTGTGGGCAGCACAGCACAGGTGAAAGCTGTGCATGTACAGCATTCGCTCTGATAACAAGTCAGGAGCTTGGAAGTGCTCTGGGTTCTGATGTGGAGCTCCAGCTCGGAGGTGCTTGCAACATATCTGGCTATCTGGGTAGGTTAAGCATAAATTCTTGAGACGTCAGATAATGGAGACAGCAGTGGCAGGTTCTGCCTTGCACCAGGGTGCTTCTTCTCACCAAAGACATGAAGAGATTGCTTACAGCAGGGAATCAAGACAAAGGAAAGCCTCGCACATCCTTTGATGCTAAGCATCTTTTCAGTTGTTGGCCACTTTATAGTTTGGTGTGACGAGTTTTCTGATGCTATCTTGGATTGCATAATGATGCTGAATGCTGATACTGCCACAAAAGTGGGAACACCACATCTCCGTGGCTGATTTTTACCTCAACTGCCTACCTTAGCAGCTGCTGCAGTGTCCTGTTTTCTCATTCTGCCCTGTATTACTTGTACGTCTTTAATAGTGAGATTATTTCTGTCTTTCCTGTAGTCATCAAACTTCCCCTCTGCCTCATGTTCCTTATCTCACTCTGAACTGCCTGTCTGGTTTAGTTATCTCAGATATTTTCATTAATTTCAGGATGAGACATGAATCGAGCACACAGCCCAGAACATTTACTAGGTGTCCAAATTCAGCCCAGCTCAACAGTAATTTAAAAATTGTTAGCAATGACTTCAAGCTTGGAAGAAGTGCTCATATCTTACTATAGATTTTTATCTTTCACTGAATGAAATTGCTTCTGGCAGTGTCAGGACAGAAAGCACCAAAGCAAGGAGAGAAAATTAGTAGTATGGCATGGATGAGATCTTCCTCAGCTTCTAATGAGAAAGAGGTGTGTAAAAAGAGGAACAGAGTGCACAGCTGTGGAATTAAAGCAGACAGCAAACTCCATGTAGAAGGATTTTTTTCAAGACAAGAAGACACCTCCTAATGAATAGAGGAAGTATTTACGTCTAATTCCAGGTAGATCATGTTTGGTAGGGCTTCGATAATAATACTCTTCTGCTACAGCATCTGCCTTCTCATTGAGGCAGAATTCAGCCTGAACTGCAGTGGGGGAAGTGTTAACCAAACCTGGGAGAGAGAACTCAGCTCTGTGCTTGTTTCTGTGGCAGATATGGAGCAACTGTCGCTATGATGACCTGGGCAGCCCTTTAGACTCTTGTGCTACAACTGGTCTCATGTGACCAGAATTAAGAACTTTTTACCAAAAAAAAAAAAAAAGAAAAGAAAAAAGAGAACTCAGTTTTTCCCCATCTCAACAAAAAAGAAACAGAGGAATAAGGCGGGGGCTCAGAGTTCTGCACCTTAAAACAATCCTGCTTTGTCACTTCTCCCAGTGGTGGTTTCTCTTACCAGTGCCAAAAAGAGCCACTTCTGTCACACAAGAGCAACAGAGGAGCATTCCCCAATCAAACTCAATCAGAGCCTTTATCAGGGAAAGGAGCATTCGGTACTGAACTTTCCCTTCACTGGCTCCCCACAGCTCTGGGGTTCTTCCAAAGTAGTAAGAAGACAGATTTCTTGTTGAGAGAATACTGTGAAAATACAGCTGAAATGAAATGAGATGCACTTGAGAACAAAATGATATCTAGCCTGGCTGCAGGCAGTCCTGGAGCCCACGGAGTCAGAGCCCTCGTGGGTTTACCTATTGATGTAGAGGTATAACAACATTAATGTCAAGATTATCCTTACAGCCTTTATTGAAATATCAGGCCAATAATCAGATGTGGTGAGTTTGGACTTTCACACCCACAGCCAAGTTTCATTCCAGCTGATCAATCCTCGCCATCGTGCTCCTCGTGCGCTGCGCAGTTTGGATTTCCTCAGGGCACGGCAGGTCCCCGGCCTGCTGGCAGCTGGGAAGAGCAGTGCAGGAGGGTGTGGGCTGCTGCCGAGCTGCAGTTCCTCTGAGCTCACAAAGCTGGCTTTATCACAAGCAATCCCAGCGCTGCAGGCTCCGAGAATTGCTCTGATCATTGCAGCCCCACTGGAGCTGTGGGAGGGGAGCACACACAGCTCACACCCTGTGCTGCTGTTATATAAAAGCCTGGCACCGATCTCAAACGCTGATGAAAACAAACCCAGTGTTTGTTTGTTATGGTCTCTTTTTTTTTTTTTCCCCAAAACAACCATTTGGCGCCTTATTTTGAAATCCACCAAGCACTGCTGCTGGCTCACTGCCCATCAGCACAGAGCTATTCCACATTTCCCTGCAGCAGCTCTAACAACCTGCTGTGTACCTTGTGTCTGGCCCTGCAGGCTCAGCCTCCACAAGGTTCTCTTTGGGCTGATCTAAGGTTGTGCTCACAAACAACCGGAGCCCCCAACAGCTGGAATTCAGTGTTCAGCAAAGCAAGGTGGAAGCAGAAATCATTGTCTTTCCTGTGAAATAGAACTGGTGAGAAGTGCTCTGTGCAGCCAGGTGTGCTGCAGTTCTTTCAGATCACCTCTGTCAAAGGTGCAGCTCACAGAGTGAAGGTGAGGAGGAAGA